GAAAGATAACGTATGTCAGTAAACCCATTAACTACTAAATACTAGTAAAAATACGGAACGACATGGAACGATAGAAACGATGGAAATTAACGAATAGAACGATATGGACACATAAGTATGACCAAACCACTGTAGCTCAACTACTGCCCATCAGACACAATGAAAAACAAATATATCGTACCTAAATAATCAGATCCTTAAGCGTTTTCTAGAGCCGCCACCTCAAAGTCAACAACCGAACCGTTGTGTGGGGCGTCAAAAATTTCTAGCTAAACGAATACCCCGAAACAGCAATACAAAAAATATATATATGCAGCTATTTAAATATATTTTTGCAGGTTACATACGAACCACCTCTTTGCTTACTATTACCATTAAGAATCCGTTTACCTCATTACTTGTATATACACGGCTTGATAAAACTTTTCCTGGAAATATGGTAATTATCGATTTAATGAAAAAATAATGTTGAAATTTCAATCCTGCGATTCTACTCCTACCAAACCTCAAGTGATTAATTAAGAGAAAAACAAAAATGTTAGACGAAGTCAAATATAGTGCGAAAAAACAAACTTGCGCATTATTGGTTATCTAAAACTTTTTTCGCTCTCAATTTCTAGATAACCCTTCCCCATCAAAATTAGCATTTGAAAAAATCCGTTGGCACGAAGAAAAGCTGTGCTTAAGGCGAAACAAGCAGCACAAACCTACGAAGTGAAAAGCAGGAAAAAACAACACAAAGCGAAAATCAGGCGCAAACACAAAAAATTCCCAAGCAAGAAGAATTCGCCGACATGAATCATTCATCATTCGCAAATCAGCTTAACTGATGGACGCTGCTTTTGCTTTAATTCGCCTAAAAATGCATCGGAAGAGGCAGGCTTAACCTTGAATTTTATTTCGACCGACTTCGTCGGTTTCGTCCATATGCCTCATTACACTGGTGATTACAAAACCAGGTAGGAGGAAAAAGAAACGAAGAAAGTTCAACGATTGACGGCATCGATTATTTATGTATATTCAAGGAAGGGCAAAGGTGACAAATGACGACGACCATGACGGAGACGGTGATGACTAGAATGACTAACGGATGACGCAAAGCAGAGCATATATGCGACAACGACGATCGCTTTGCAGCAAGTCCGCAGCGGGAGAAGGCTTAAGTGGTCAGCTGCTGCACAGGCATCGATTTAGGAGAGTTTGAAAAAAAATAGTATTTTCCTTTGCAAGAAATTATTCCTTTTCCAAAAGATTAATGAATGACAGATGTCACTGTCCGTTCAGACGGATGACGACGACAACGACCAAGAAGATGACACGTACGTAGGAGTCAAGGACGACGGCTGTTTTCTCTCCGTTTCTCGACATTACCAATATGCCCCCACCGGCAAGAGCGTCGACAACACGAAGTGGTATGGCTACTTCAATGCCTTCAACCAGAGTCGTCATTAGAGTATCCTTCTTCGTGTTGCTGAATGATTCTTGACGAATTTCGTGGATAATAATATTTACTTCCATATGACATCATGCCCACCGTCTGCCTTAGTAATACAAGATGGCTAGTGATAATAACGAAACTTGTATAAGTTAAATAGACCCCCCCCCGCCCCTGATTTGCAAGACGAAGGCC